ACTGGAAATATACGGTCAATGTTAGCGATGATTTCAGCCATGTTATGAGAAGGGGGAAAATGGAACATGTTGTGACCACTGCAAAGATCTGTGGAAGGAGGGATAGAGGAAGACAACGAGAGAAGATGCTTGACAATCTTGTTAAATGGCATGAAGGTGTGTCGGCACACGAACTGATACATGCTGCAGGAGATTGTAGATTATGGAGAGGCATGATCGCCCTCGCCAGTCGGCAAGGCACCTGATGATGATGAATATTCACTTAATGAACTGTGTATGCAAAACCAACGCTATCATCAGGGTTTTAAAAAAAAGATTCAAATTGTGTGCACCTACTAGCACAAATAACGAACGCTTCGAACCCTACATAGTTTTTTCTAACGGAAAAGGACATCAAAAATTCGGATAGCATATTTCGAGACTTGTGCATTTCATTAGGTAAGTATGATTGTGATCCAGGTAAACAGCTTACATATTTTTATCGAAAATATTTATTAATGGGACCAAATAATGTAACATTAAGTTGTATTTTGACGTTCTGTTGATTGTACATACTTTACAACGTTTTTTTCTGACTTCCCATTGATAGAAGGTAGAGTATCCTCACACTTTACTCTGTTTTTGACTTTCTGTTGGAAGATTATTCTCAAGCTTTACTATGTTTTTGACCTCTTTTTTTTTTTTTTTTTGGTGGCAGGACGAGTAGTGCCACATTTTACTGCTTTTATTAAACCGTTGCAAAGTGATGTGGTAAGGGCAAGTGTGGAGAAAAAAAACAAAGGCAGAATATTGTCACAACAGAAACGTTTGGAGAGCAGCGAGAGTATGGATAACTCAGAGACAGAGAGAGAGAGAGACAGAGAGAGAGAGAGAGAGACAGAGAGAGAGACAGAGAGAGAGAGACAGCGACAGAGAGAGAGAGAGAGACAGCGACAGAGAGAGAGACAGAGAGAGACACAGAGAGAGAGACAGAGAGAGAGACAGCGACAGAGAGAGAGAGACAGCGACAGAGAGAGAGAGAGACAGCGACAGAGAGAGAGACAGAGAGAGACACAGAGAGAGATAGAGAGACAGAGAGAGAGAGACAGCGACAGAGAGAGAGACAGCGACAGAGAGAGAGACAGCGACAGAGAAAGAGACAGAGAGAGACACAGAGAGAGAGACAGAGAGAGAGACAGCGACAGAGAGAGAGAGACAGCGACAGAGAGAGAGAGAGACAGCGACAGAGAGAGAGAGAGAGATAGAGAGAGAGAGCGAGAGAGAGACATCGACAGAGAGAGAGAGATATTAGACAGCGAGGGGAGAGAGAAATTAGACAACTGGTGTCATTATATGAAAGAAGACATCATGTATCATTTGTGGCAGCCTGTAACAGTATTAGCCTGTAACAGTGGTACCCTGTAACAATGGTAGCCTGTAACAGTGGTAGCCAGTAACAGTGGTAGCCTGTAACAGTAGTAGCCTGTAACAGTGGTAGCCTGTAACAGTAGTAGCCTGTAACAGTAGTAGCCTGTAACAGTGGTAGCCTGTAACAGTAGTAGCCTGTAACAGTAGTACCCTGTAACAGTGGTAGCCTGTAACAGTGGTAGCCTGTAACAGTAGTAGCCTGTAACAGTGGTAGCCTATAACAGAGGTAGCCTGTAACAGTGGTAGCCTGTAACAGTATTAGCCTGTAACATGATACATCGTGTGACTAGTTAGGATGACCATAGTCTTTGCCTTCCTCTCTCATTTTTCTCATTGTGCCCGAAGATTGAATTTCTAATGCGAGTATCGGTCACCGTTTGTGAGTTTCTTTCAAAAATCTGTGTAGTCCATGCTTAGTGTTCTCATCCTAATGTTCCAAAAAAAAAAAAAAACATACTTCCTCTTTCTGGAGCTTCTTTCTGTGAAAATGCATGTCGTAAAAGGCGACCAATAAGAGGTTAACTAAAATCGGATATACAAGATCGAAAGGCACAGATATCGCAGCCTATTTGTAAGCCACAATGCAACTTGCCTAGCGCCTTTGTAAGGACGAACAAAGAAGAAGAAGAAACCACAACTATGTAAGTTTCACTTAATCACTTTTTTATCTCGTGACTGTCCATGATTAACTAACATACAACAAATTTGGTCCTATGATAGCTATTAAGATTTTTCTTCTAATCTCCATTGCCAAGATCTAGGTCATTAATTATTCTACAAACCTGCACAATTATGCTTTTGCATGCTTACTCTAAACTGAACTTCTTTTATTCATCTAACATCCACCTGTTATCACGATATACGAACACTTGAATTATGTGACATTCTTCCGATGCCCCTTTTACTAATCCTCTTAACCTTAATGCTATATTCCAGTGGACATTATTTATGTTGTTCTTCCTTGCTCTCCACATTATTTTTGTATTTTTCCTTGTTCTCCCTATCCAAACAAAGACATTTATTTTCTGTCTTTTTCTGTCGCCGCACTCAAATGTATGGTTAGTTCTTCATATTGTGCAGCCCTTTGTTGACACAGGACATCCTTAAACACTAAACAGCTTCACAAGAAGTATGTTATTAAGCGTTAGCAAGGAAATTGAAGTGAAAATGTTGAGGTCATGCATCTTCACTGTAGCAATATACGGATGTGGGTCGTGGAATATCTCACAGTCCTTAAGGAAGACAATAGGGGCTTTTGAGCTAAAATGCTATAGACACATTCTAAGAATCCCATGGACAAAGAAGAGCAGAAATACTGACATTTTAAAAGAACGGAACATCTCTCAATCCTTAAGAAAGAGAATAGGGGCTTTTGAGTTGAAGTGCTATAGAACGATTCTCAGAATATCTTGGACAAAGAAGAGAAATACTGACATCTTGAAAAATCTGAACATCAAGAAAGACTGGCTAATAAACAGCATTCTGTCTCGAAATCTGAAATATTTTGGTCATATCAAGCGCCAGGACGGATTGAAAAAAAATTATAGCACATGGCATGGTACCGGGAAGGAGGTGTAGGGGCCGAACGACACGAAGATGGGCACAGGATATAAGTGACTCCTTGAGTATGAAAGTACATGAGGCGTGAGAACTGGCGAGAGACCGAGTTTTTTTTTTCCAGGCAGACCGTGATGAGAGCGACGTTCTGCAAAGGACCTGCTACATGATGATGAACATTTGCTTGGTGTTTGTTAACTCTGATATCGCTACACGACTCCCACATAACACTTAATCTATACGCCTTATCTGTTTACATTTCAGCTACCCTATGAACTATGGTATTTTCGTCACCAGCCAACCTGCCTAGTACATGCAGCCTTCCTGGTTTCTCGGGCTGTTGGGTGACACACCAGTATATTTATAGGAAACTACCAGAATTACTTCCTTGCCAGTGTGTGATGTTCTACAGTTATCTGGACCTTCTAGACCTTGGACAAGGATTATATATTGCTTGAATCTTTGACAGCGCGTCTAATTATTGAAATTTCATAGATATAAAATGTAGCCAAGGACTGCAGACCTGGTTTGTCTTGACAAGCTGTCTAATTTTTGTACTATAACTTTGTGGATTGGAAACAGTCAAGGATTTACACCGAGTGTATTCCTAATAACCTTCTGCTTAGTAAATGTTCAGCTATTGAAAACATGACTGAGGATTGTTCATGGCTTGTGTCTTGACAAGGTTTATTATTAATGTACTATAGCTTTGAGGATTAAAAACATAATCAAGGATTGTACATCAAGTGTATCCTAAACAACGTGTCTACTCACTAAATTTTCAAGAATTTGAAACCTAATTAATGATTGTACATGGACTTTGTCTTTGACATGGCGACTAATTTCTTTACTGCAAATTCGTGGACTGGAAAAGTAAACATGAATTTACATGTAGTACGTCTCCAACAGTTTGTCTACTCATCACAGTTTAACTTTTGAAACATAATCAAGGATTGCACATCGATTATTTCTTTGACAAGGTATTTGTCTACTCACTAAATGTTCTTATTCAGAAGCAATAATCAGGGATTGTGCATTGATTACGTCTTTGAAAGCATATGTGCGTTTACTCTAAATTCATAGACTGGAGAGAAAGACGCAGAATGTTTTTTAATAGTGTGTAACTTTCTAAGAAAACCTCAGCAACTTGCAACATACACAAGGATAGTTTGCTTGAAATTGTTTAACGTGTTGTGATAACTGCAGAAAATTGAAACAAGGACTTTATATGGATTGTACGTTTAAGTGGGTGTAACTTTTTACAGTAATCTTAACGACTTAAAATATAGAAGCGAATTAGAAACGGGCCGATCTGAGCTACGTATATAACATTTATTACAGTCCCAGTTATTTGACATATTCAAGGACTTGAACGAATTACTTCTTGAATATCATATAACTTTCTACGATAACGATGGCTGCTTAAAACAACAAAGACAAAGATTTTTCACGGATTATATCTTATACAGTAACTTCATCGATTTTAAAAAATAGACAAAGATTGTACACTGATTGTGCCTCTGCTGGCGTATAACTGTTTGCAAATAACCTCAGTTATTTATATCAAAGACAAAGTCTGTACATGGACTGCGCCCCAATAGTGTGTGTTCTTCACAGTAACTTCGGCTATTTGAAACACACATAATTTTCTTTGACAACATATCATCATAGACATGAAAGATCTACACGTGTTCAAGTCTTGAATCAATTATGTTTACCAGAGTAAGCAATTCATATAGAAGAAACATGGATTGAAAAACATGTTTCATTTAAACATGCATATAGCAATCATAAAGCAGTGATTATTTGAAATGTTGGGACTAATTTTTTGTACGCAGGAAATGCGTGTATCCAAAGCGTCTCACAGCTTGTGAAAATTATTTTACTATTATATGATTCTCTAAGACACTAGGACCCACGTAATATTGTTAAAGACAGCAGTAAAGGCATATAATTTATGTATATTAGATTCATCGTGGTGACTGCATGATTTTAACTGAACAAATTCAGAGTGTATTGCGTCAGTTAGCAAGGAAATGAATTTATTTCGATGTAAATGCTACAAGGGACTACTGCATCGCAAAATAGTATCTCTGGTGCTTTTCTCGTATTTTGTAATGATATTTCTTTTTCTACTGAACTTAGACATTATTCAGTCAAATTCCCAAAGCGTCGACTCTACAAAAGGAGTAGCAAGCGATTCGATACCTGTTAGAGGAAACTCGCTAAAAAAGGAAACAAGTCTTTTGGCTCTTTTAAAACAACTGGCTTTATCGCACAAAACTGTACTCCAGCGTCCAAAAAATAACACTAAAAACTTCGAAAGTGACCAGAAATTTATAAAGCCTACGACAGGTAACGTAACACACGTCGATCCAGTTCCCCTGAGAAATCCGATTCTAGACCTGAAACATGAAAAGGCAGGAGATTTTATTGTCATAGGCGAAGAAGCATTTGTTTACTCTGCCTTCATCGATGACAGGAAAATACCCAGTTTTGTCAGAATAATGACCCTGCTGTCCCAGACAGCTTCAAATCAGCCCATGTACTGTCTTTTCAGTGAGACAGCAGCTGTCCAACCACTTCAAATGGTGCGATACGAGCTGTGTGAGAACCATAACAGAAAATTTGGAGGGTATATTTATTCCTGCCGTGTGCCAGACTTTGTTGACAGTCGGACTCTGGAATTTGTAACCATATTTTTCACAAAGTCGGGATCAAACGTATCATTACCCCTGCTACCAGTGAGGCCCCCAGGACATAAAGCAGCCCAACTAGACTTGTTTCCAAACAGGACTCATGCAAACGACTCAATTCAGATAGAAAAGAATTACAGGACCAGCATGGAACTAGCTTCTAACGTCTCTTCAAAGAATTTAGACGAACAAACAAAAACATTCACTTTTGCAATCTGCATATCCCCATTGTTTGGGAACATTTCAGTGCATAGGCTCGTTGAATTTATCGAGCTCTCACGTCTTCTTGGCACCCAGCATTTTATTTTCTACAATCACAGTTTGACTCTCGAGATATCAGACGTCCTAGAGTATTACATTAGCAAGAACCTTGCATCAGTTCTACCATGGACACTGCCTCCTGAAATGCATACAGACACCAGCAGTATGTTTGTATGGTACTTTGGGCAACTTCTTGCACACAACGACTGTCTATATCGCGCTATGCCTCGTTTTGATCTAGTAGCCTTTAACGACATTGACGAATTTATTGTGCCGCATTCCAATGCAAAATACTGGAGAGATGTCTTTCCTTCGATGCTGACAGATGATCGTTGTGGATTTTCTCTGCAGAGCGCCTACTATGATCCCGGCAGTAGAGATACATTTACCAGAGACTTGCTAACACCCATTCTCGTGGAGAAAACCAAGGTTTATAGCACGGTATGGTAAACTTTCCTTTTGAACATTTGAACCACTGTCTTTTTATTCCTGCTAGCCACTTCCCTCCCAGTCAGGACGTGGGAAACGGAAGACTCAGGTTTTGTACATCTCCCCCCTCCCCCCTCCCACATCCCCAGAACTTTCAGGGGTGGACTGAGACCTCTTCGCCTTTCCTCTCTCCCTCATACAGTTTGCAAGGGAGCTAAGTGGTACTTCTGACCAACCGTGGATAGACGTCCTCTGTTTTAGTATTTGTTTATATTTTTAATAAATCGAATCGAGTCTCTGGAAACGTAGAAATACAAAAGAAAATGTCATAGTTCATGGAAACCCAAAACAATCAAATGCAGAAAGGTTCCGGAGAGACTGCAAAGGAAAAGATAGTTACTGTTTAAAAAAAAAAAGAAGACGGAGAGGGAGACAATGAGAATATTTCGCCACATTAAAACACATTAACACTCTTTTAAAACCATACTGAAGAGAAAAGTCTAAGGCAAGAGAGCAAGAGGTAGACATTGATACACGTGGGAGAACAACCTCAGGACATGCACGAACAGCGGAGAGAGTTACTACTAAGAAAACGGCAAAAAGTGTTTGAGACCCATTGCAATCAACCCACCTTCATTGTGGAGATGGCACTATATTAATTGAAATTAATTTCATACACACACACACACGCAAATATATGTGTATATATATATATATATATATATATATATATATATATATATATATATATATATATATATATATAGTAAAGTAAAGTAAAGTAAAGATCAATTTTCACGCCTTTAGGCGCATCGGGCATATGGAAAGAACACCCATATTTTTACAGACCAATCGGCACTAGGTGGGTAATGTGATCAGCATTACTCCAGCCGTCGTTACTTCCCCACGACATCTATCCTGGTACCCATTTTAGACTGGGTCGACCTGCGACGCCCCAAAGCACGTAAAAAATTCACGCAGCCAGCAGTGGTTTTCGATTGCGGTACGGTAAAATTACGAGTTGGACTCGCAATGCCTAAGCCAAGGGCGCCGCTATATATATATACATATGCCGTAAAGCCGATAATGATTATTATTATCACTGAGCACACAACACCTAGGCCCATTGAAGCGATTCCCCCAAGAAAATCTGTAAAACGACTCCCACAATCTTTTCTATGTGGGCACTACTGATCCCAGATAGCTGCTACATCAACTCCTTCTTTTTTTGTTCTGGGAAATTATCTCTCTAGGTTCCTGATGGCTGTTGCGTCGACTCATTCTCTGTAAGCTAGTGTTAACTCTTTAGGCTCCAGAATACCGTTGTATGGACGCATTTTTTTCCAGACTGAATTAGCTCCTTCAGCCCCATGTAACTGTTGTATCGGCACATTCTTTTCCAGTAGGTGGTGTTATCAAATCCATCTTAATTTCTAAATAGCGTTGTACCAACCCAGTCTCTTCTTCTTATAGTCTATGCAGTGTGGCGTTGATAGTCATGTCTATCCACAACCTGTTGTCTCGTGTACTTTAAATCAGTTCTGATACAAATGATCTTCCATGCTAGGATATCGCACTGCCTCTCCCTCTGTCTCTTTTTCTCTCCAACTTTCCCACCGTCACATTTTACGGCAGTTTTCTCCTTCCCGTGACACGACCAAAGAATATACATGGTAGGCAATCAGTCCTCTTCGTGAGTATAATTCCTTCAAGACATCTTCTTGACTTTTTTTTTTCAATAAATCTGTTCAGGGTCTTGTCATTATCAGGCTATACAACCACCTCTCCGCCCTTTTCACATGTTTTTTTACTAATTGGCCAAGGTCAATGATTCACTTTCAAAAATCATAATAGGAAGTTTAATCAGCATTCATCTGACATTTATTTCTTGGTTTTATTAATAAAAACCAGGAAATAAAACACGAACAAGTTGGCAGAGTTAAAAAAAAAATTCATTTTGAACCAAATGTGCACCCTTGGTTGGTGAGGAAAAAGTCACCGTAGGCATTAAGCAAAGCATCTCATTGCTTAGGTAAAAAAAGACTGGGCTGCGGATGTTCACCGAAACAATTGTTTACCGCGTTCATTAGCCTACATCTATGTGAAATCGTTGGCCCCTGAGAGATTTTAGTAGATGTTGGAACAAATTACAGTCACATAAATGATTCACAATTTGGAAGTGCTGTACCATTTGATTATAAATCGATGTATGGCAAGTTAGATACGGTTAAGGCCTTTTGGGAGCAAGTAAACAGTCTTGAAGCGTGAATAGATCACTGAGGTCTATGTGGAATGGTCTGATGGGGACTGAGTAGGGGATCAGGCAGACACTCCACAGTCATAGAAAGGCAGCACAAACTTATAGTAAACCAACTGGTACCATCTGCGTTAGAACTCTTCGCTAGCTGCTTAAGATAACGATGGAACACATATGGGAATGTCCCAACTGTGGTGATGTCTGTTCTTAATCCATCTTAGCTCAGGTGTCTATGAGTATGTAATTGTTGTCCGTCCATTCAGGTTCGTAGGAAAGTGATGCTCTGCCCTTGGCGAGTGTTTGAAGTAGGGATCCACCATATCAGCAAGCAGAACCGAGAGGAGTGGCTGCCGCTTCAAGTGGATCCTGAAGTAGCTTACCTTCACCACTACAGAAGCTGCCTGGGAGACTACGGCATGTCCTGCAGCCACAAGGTGAACGACACTATAATTTCTGATCGTTATTTGAAGGATCTGACCATCAACTTCAACAGGGTCCTTGCAGATATTGGTTCATCCCAAAATGTCCTTGGTTTGGCATCAAAAAATATAACGTAAATATATATCTCCTCCATATTCGCTGCAGATAGATAACTTAAATCAATAACCAGTCAACAGTCAGTCAGTCTCTCTCTCTCTCTCTCTCTCTCTCTCTCTCTCTCTCTCTCTCTCTCTCTATCTATCTCTCTCTCTCTCTCTCTCTCTCTCTCTCTTGTTCTACAATCTCAGACTTCTGTCCTTTCCCTTTTCCCTCTTATATTGCTGTCAACCTCTTGCTTGTCTCAAGTTGCCCGTGTGTAGGAAAATACATGTTTGGTTTTATTCTTTCGAAAAATGTAACGTAGATTTGAGCATATTGCATTGATACTAGATCCCTATTATTAATGATCAATCGACACTGCATAAGTCGGGTGATAAACACTATGCCAGAATCCTTTTACACAGCTGGGAGAACCTGGGAGCTCATATACATTATTCAGATGTGCCTCGGTGTTACTCTACTCGAAGATCTGCAGGTTATGTTCTACTCGAAGATCTGCGGGTTATACTCTACTCGAAGATCTGCAGGTTATACTCTACTGGAAGATCTGCAGGTTATACTCTACTCGAAGATATGCAGGCTACTCTCTACTCGAAGATCTGCAGGCCATTCTCTACTCGAAGATCTATAGGCTATTCTCTACTCGAAGATCTCCAGGCTATACTCTACTCGAAGATCTGCAGGCTATACTCTACTCTAAGATCTGCAGGCTATACTCTACTCGAAAATCTGCAAGCTATACTCTACTCGAAGATCTGCAGGCTATACTCTACTCGAAGATCTGCAGGATAAACTCTGCTGGCATAGCTGCAGGCTATACTCTACTCGCATAGCTGCAGGCTTTACTCTACTTGAAGAGCTGCAGGCTATACACTACTCGAAGAGCTGTAGGCTATACTCAACTCGAAGATCTGCAAGCTATACTCTACTCGAAGATCTGCATGCTATACGCTACTCGAAGATCTGCAGACTATACGCTACTCGAAGATTTGCAGGCTATACTCTGCTTGAAGATTTGCAGGCTATACACGTAGTAAATGCTACATAAATTAGAAGGCAGGATTGTCAAGAACTTTTATAGTAAACTCTGGTGTGCGTCAGGGCTATGTACCATCGCCACTTTGTTTTTATAACATACATAAAAACAATATGTAATTAAACGAACTTAAATCATGAAGAAGATATTACAGAATTACTATTCGCCGACGACCAGGTACTAATTTCAGAAAGTATGGAATGCCTACAGAACTACCGAAATCAAATTAATAACAAAGGGGTTGAATATAATATCAAAATAAACACTACGAAGACAGAGACAATGGTGATAGGAAGACAGAAAAATATAGTTAAGAAATAAAATTAGAAAACAAAGCCTTAAGATAAAAAAAGTATTTGGCAGCAATTTTCACATCCGATGGAGATCTGGACAGAGAAATTAGCTCGAGATTTGCTAAAGCTAATCACGAAATGCGGCAACTATCTCCCCTGTTGAAACACAAGCAGATACCCAGAAGTACTAAAATGAATCTTACTAAAATAGTTTTTTGGCCAATACTATACTATCAGTGCTAAACGTGGACACTACTATCCTCTAATGAACGTAACATTGTGAAAAAAAGAGATGAAATGCCTTAGAAGAGCTGCAGGAGTTTCAAGGAAAGACAGAATACGAAATCATGAAATCAGAAGAATGCTAGGAATAAAGCCAGTCTTACAGGTCATCAAAGAAAAAATGAGTGGTTTTGACACCTAACAAGAATGCCCGGGTACTATCTGCCACAGCGAGCCACACCGAAACGTTACAACAGGTGTAGAACGAGTGGAAGAACTCGAAAACATAGAGTGATGGTATTAGGAACAGCATTACAGAAATTAACACCAATCTCAATAGTACTCTTGACAGAGCTCATCAACGAAGGTTACACCCCCCCCCCCCCAGACACTTCGCTGAGGAGCAAGGTGGAAGAGAAGAACAGGAACAGTTGGCAGTCAGTTTGTGTGAGAAAACAATGTAGAATAAATATACAGACCTCAGATTCTACGATATGACTGATCGCAAGGCTTGGGGATATTCTACTGAGCCTTTGCTGTCAACGATGCATGTTCTTTTCCCTAAAATGTGCCTTTATAAATAAGATCTGCTATTTTACCTTTTTTCTCACTTTGTGTGTGTGTGTCTATATATATATATATATATATATATATATATATATATATATATATATATATATATATATATACATACATATATATATATATATATATATATATATATATATATATATATATATATATATATGCCCGACGCGCTAGCTAAATTGGGTAAAACCAGCTACGCGGCTATTGAGTGACAAACTCCTTGTGGTCCGAGTTCACGCTCGGGGTTATACAGAAGTGCCACATATCTCCCAGATATACGGTATCCATCATGGAATTAAGGCCCAAGGGTTGCAATATCCATAGTACCTTGCCAAAAGGTCTACAACGCATGGTTTCTGGATCAAACAGTCTATAAGTATATATGTATAGTTATAATGAGAGTTTTAAGCATACAGCTTTATTTTGTTTGAATATTTATAATTGATTTGACTGGTTATCTTTTATGTAGTGTTCAAGTACATACCTTCCTGAGGCTTTGTTTATTTCGCATGAATGAGATTTCCAGATGAGTTATTCAATCTCAGATAGGTTGCTAGCAGGCTGGCTAACTGGCTGGTTGAATAGCTGGTTGATCTGGTCAGTTACTAGACCGGTTGTTGGTTGGTAGCTTTTTCCCCCCTCAATTGATTGGCTGTTGCTAGCCGAGTGGCTACTTGGTAGTTTGAATGGGTCGCTATATTTTCATTTTATATTATGTTTTCACAAATTCTGCTGTCATGAATTAGGACGTCATATTTACCCCTTGACTCAAAATATAAACTCAAAATGTTAACTACATAAAGACTGAATAACTGACTGCCCCCCCCCCCCCCCTTTTTTTTCCTTTTCCGAGCAGCTATCTGAAGTTTTGATATCGCTGCGACTTGAAAAGCGGCGTCTCGGATGGCAACCCAACAGGTTAAATCCACAGTACGCCATCTAGCCCGCAGTAGCATAGAAATGAAGGCAGACAAAAAACACGCGAAGAGGGGGACCCTAGGTTCGTGTTTAAAAAAAAAAAAACAATACGTAGACGACTTGGAATGAGTTGAACACAATAGCAAAAAAAAAAAAAAAAAAAGGTTGACTTGGCTGAGGGCCTTTGCTCCAATGGGTAAAAGAAGAAAGGAGAAGAATCCTGTCTAATGTAATAAAGATTCTTGAAAGTAGCTAACGCCTGTATCAGAATTAGGTAATTCACATTCTTTGGACATTTCTTGAGAAAGGGAGAACTAAAGTAAATCGTGTCAATATGAAAGTTAAAAGAAAGGAAATGAAGAGAGAATGGGAAAATAAAAATAAAAATAAAAGCAAGAGTTAGACGTAATATCATCAAGTCATAGAGGAATGTCTGTGTCATAAATAATTGGCAACACACAGAGGGGAAAAAATTGATTAGGATTGCCACATGATATGAATTATCGGGGGCTGGCGGTGGAGTTCTAACGGACTCCCCCAAAACCACAGTAATTTGGACATAACAACAATGAGACAGATGGTTTATGAAGCAAGGGTTGACTAACGTGGCAAATGATGCTAAAGAAACCTTTCACATAAACACTAGTTTGGTGTTAAATGCCTGAATAAGAATCGATATCACAGCACTCAGGACATTCCCATAAGCTCTCCGTCCCCATCTTCAGCAGCAAGTGTAGAGTTCCTATTCCAGTGGTACTAATAGCAATCTGACTGCATTTCCGTCTCACCTTTCTCTTGAGTGCTGATCGTCGATTAGATCCCCTGGTCACTCCTCGCAATCCAATTCTGTTCAGAGCATGATGATGATCCATCTGTGCTTCCGCACTGTTCCCTTGCCCCCAAAGGGCCCTTGCAACAACCAGATTGACATGCATCCTTTTCTTCCTCTTTAGTCCTCTTTTAACCCTTGAGGTGTCGAGGGAGATATAAGGTCCTACTTTGTGCTTTTCTGGCTGCTTCGACCAGTCCCATCGTGGTACTGTAGAATTTCTCTGATGTTGTACTTCCATGTTGTTCTTGGTCTACCTCTTGCTGTACGTCCCTCTCCTCTTTTGGTATATGCCTTGAATGGTATAGCATCAGAAGACATTCTCTCTAAGTGGGCAAACCTTTGAGTTGCTGTGTTTCTATGTAATTTAGAATTGGTTCTGTGCCGACTTTATCTCGTATGATCTCATTCCTGATTTTTATCTCTTCTGGTCACTCCTACAACCTTTCTCAGACACCTCATTTTTGACATTTTAACATGTTTTTTTTTTCTTTTCGCCAATTCTTAAATTTTTAATTTTGTATTACTCATTTTATAATAATAATAATAATTATTAATATTATTGTTATTATTATTATTATTATTATTAACTATTGAAATGAGGTACAAGTAAAAAATTGTGGAAGGGCAGAATGTTAGACGGGCCTGCGTGCCCAATTCTTTACCCTTTGAAAATAAAGTTTGTTCGTTCGTTCGCTCGTTCGTTGTTGCATGAATTCCCCATAAACATTTGTGATACAGGGAAACTGTCTGTGACAAGAGAAATGTTTTGCAATGAGTGTGTGATATTATAACAGTAATATGCTTGATAATGAAGAGGATGTTGCTAGTGATGTTGATAACGTTGTTGTTATTGTTTCTATTGATGATGATGCTGATTTTTATTGTACTGATTATATGAATACTGATGATGTTGGTATCGGGGATATTGATACTTAAGATGTCGACTGCGCTAATCGAGACGTTTATCATGATGATAATGATGATGAGTATACTGAAACTGATGACAACTGTGTTTTAAGGATGATGTTGCTAGTGTTGATAATGATATGATTATGATAGTGATGTTGAAAATGGTGGCAATGATGATGACGATGATGGTAGTGATAATGCTGATAATATTATTAATAA